AATATGATCTAGATATAAATATATAATAACAAGAAAGTATTGAATACAGCAAGAAAATATGAAATTACATTGAAAATAGTTGATGGTTTTAGTTTTAATATTGCTCAACAAACTGAATAAATACAAAATGTAAAAACAACAACATATTCGAACATTGATGAAATTTTTAAGATTAAAAAGAACTTTAATATGTTTAATAGTTTGACAGATTTATTTTGAACAAAAACATTTATCGTAGAATATAATTTAAGAGATAGAGTCTGGCATATTTTTTGATTAGCTTGGTCTGACAATCATGATTATAATCAAAGACTTCTGTTTTCTCGGAAAAATCTATCGGTCCATTAACGTCTGGAGTCGTCTATTCAATGATTAATGATTCTATGAATTTTTCAATATATTCTTGTTCAAGGTTTTTTTTTCTTCATCTTTTTTTTTAATTTTCTTCTTATAATAACGCATACAAGTTTACTACTTTATAACTTACATAATAGATTTTTTTCTCTATATTAATCCTAAGTGTTCTGCACTATAGAGATAAAATCATGATCGTTTCTAATAAAATAATCAATTTCCGTGTTGTAAACAACACTTGTATATGAATGACATAGAATAATAAGATGATAACGTGTGGGATGTTGCATTGTTTCAAGAATTTATTCATTTGTTCATGTCATGTTAGCAAAGAGTTAAGCCCGAAGACAAAAAAGAAATTTATATGATGCATATTATTCCTATTAAGATGTATATCCGGATCAATGTCAAATCAAGTTTTTATATTTTCAATCACAATTAAACAAATTTACCATATGTTTATTGTATTCTAGACATTAACATTCTATAATTTATCTAGATGACATATTTTTTATCAATGCCAGAGGTATTAAAATGAAATTGCTTTTTAAATAAAACATATTCAGATATTAACAAGATTTCAATGGAGACTATTCCATATGACTAACAAGATATAAACGCACGAGATATTCAATTATATTAAAACGTATTTATTTGACATGAAAGCCATTCTTAAAAAACAATCTATTACTTGAAATATATAAGTAAATTATAAAATGGATCGAATAAAAACTTTTCTCCAAATCAAACGATATATATTTCCATAATAAATACCAGAAATTTATCATATTTTTTTACACTAGCTCTATAGAATATTAAATCATGTTCTCTTAGATGATTGATCGAAATAGTAAATAAATGGCATGATATATAACGCCTATTAATAGACACTACTCTCAAGTCCCATACCATGAATAACCAATAACCAAAACAAAATAAACATCATGAAAACCGAAAAACGAGAAGAAAAATGTTTGTTGTGTATGTATGCACAAATGTAATGGTAAATAAGTGATATAAGAAAAAAAACAAATACTCTACTTTACAATCCGAGGGGAAGAAAAAAACTAGGTAAGAAGTTAATGTTCACATCATAGGTGGATCTGGAATACCATATCGTTTAAGATACCATTCCATATATGCTTTCTTTCGTTTTTCACGTGTTGTAAAATACGTTGGATATTGAGCTTTTTCTAATGGATGCCATCCATCGAGTGCCTTAAGTTCGCAAAAAAAAAACAAAAGAATCACAATTAGATGAAGGTCAACAAAAAAAGCCTTTCTTCTCCACTTACAGAATCATCAGGTGTTGGATATCGACTGTCAGCAATACCGTAAGGTGATTCAGGAACTTAAAATAAAAGTTTTGTTTTTTTCGTATTTAAAGCTCATTTATATATAAGATTCTTACAATTGAAATTTTCTGTATGCCAATGCATAACTTTTTTAAGTTCTTCTTCACCTGTAATTAATAATCGTTTTGCTTTCATTAAATCTTGTACATTTTTATTTGCATCAAAACGTGCTCGATATTCTACCATACGTTGACGATATGCAAGTCTATAGAGAAGATTTGTTTTTTTTTTTTGAAGAAAAAAAGAAACAAATTATTTTATAAAAATTAACCTGTCAGGCCAATGTTGTCGACGAGCAAATATAAATAAAGCTTTATATAATCGACAGACACGTTGTGAATGCGTCAAAAATGTTGTCGGTAAATTCGACATGATCTTTATTTGATTAAAACCCAAACCTCAAATAAATATGAATTAGTTGTTTATTATTGTTTGTTGTTTCGGTTTTTTTTTTATCTAAATATATTCAACCAATCGGATGTATTGTGTAGATCAAGATTATCATTGGTTGGAAGTCGAACCACTGACAAGTATTAATCGTTTTTATTATTCTTATGCTGTGTGTTACTCTTTATTTACATACTTACATTCTCCTTTTTTTCGAAGATTTGACATCTCATTCTTCTTTTTTTATTCCTCTCATTGCTCAATAACTGTCCAGTTGAGCATTATATCTGTTTTGACAACATGAAAGGAAATCGATTTAGCATAGTTCTAGTTTTATATTCTTTTCTTTTTGGCTCAAATTTGTTTATTAATACGAATATTTATTTGGTAAGAGAACAATGCTTTTTTTTGTAGTTGTTTCTTTGGTTTTAACTTTGAGAAAGAAAAAAGACGAAGAATCTTTCATAACTTAATAATATTTTATCTAGTTAAAAAGAAATGAAACGAAGCAGTGATTGTATAGCAAAAAAAGAGAGAAAGATAGGGTGAAAACGTATTTGGAATGAATAATTAATCGAATTAGAGCAACACATCTACCATGCTGAGCGAATATGTTGTCGCGTCGTCTTCTGTCGAGCATAAGGACGACGTATTGCATTTGCTTCAGTATTCTCATACTTTTGTTTCGCGAATAGCTAGCAACAGTCAACATCAATCAATAGAATCGAATAGAACATGAACATAAGTGGATGCGAGAAAAGCAAAGAAAAGGAAATGAACATGTTTTAAAAGAAGATAAACTAGTTTCGATCAAAAGTCGAGAATCTTATAAAATATTGACATTTGATTGAGCTATATACTCTGAAAATAATAGCAAAACAAGAAAGAATCAACTAGATGAAAAGTATGGGAACGTTTGTGCAAGATTTTTCTTTTTCCATTTCATAACAGAAATGGAAAGAGTTGTATCTATCGTGGGAATAAAACAAGAGAAACAAAGATAGCAAGATGCCCTATGTAATTTTCTATTCAAATACTCGATCAGTCGGCATCAAAAATCATAATTCTATTTTTTTTTTCAATCATCATTGTGCACATCGTATTTGCATACGCATATAGATCGTTGTTCATTCTTATGAGAAAAAAATAACATAATAAGTTAGAAAACTGAAGAGGTGTGTATAAATCTATATATGAACGAGCCAAATAGACATCCGTTTCATTTATGTGCTTCGTTTCCTGTCTCTATCGCCTTTTCTTTTTTTTTTTTTTTACCAAATCGAACCGCTTCGTGATTTATTTCTAATGAAATGCCAAAATATAAAAAAATGTGCGAATGAATGAGTAAGTTCTACTCACTCGATCTACTATCTAGGATTTATGAAGCAAACAAAGAATGAAGTATAACGTATTCTTTTGCTTTGTATATGTCTTTTTCATGTGAGAACTCGATGAGATGCGTTACAAACAGCATCATCAACATCCTATTCCAAGTGTTTCTGCGTGTGTTTATGGTAGCCTGACCAGAATATATAAGCAAAGGAATGAAAAAAAAAAGCCGATTAGAAGGACATGCACATATCTTCGTCTCTGTGCTACAACTACCACTACCCACTGTGCGTGTGTGTGTGTGTGTTTATAAGGCAGAGAAAGAAAAAGTTGCTTGATGATGAGACTGCGCTAAGGCATCCAACATATAGACAGAGAAAGAGATCATCATCAACAACAGAGCTAAAAAAGAAACAGAAAAAGAAAAAAAAGAGAGAGAGAGAGAGAAAACGAATCGACGAGGATCCATAAAGAAAAGAAGAATTGGCTATGTTGAGCAATTGTCTTTCTATAGAATGCATTACGACGACTGACTTTTCTGTTACTATTCTACTATTTGAGTAATAGAGGCTAAGAAAGAAAGAGAGTGGAGAGAACGACAAGAAACAAGCGAGAAAGAAGAGACGATAGCCGAGCGGCATCGCCGCCAGAAAGAAGATGATGGATTGTCAGTCGTCATTATTGTCGTAATGCAAAAAAAAAGATATAGACAATTTAATGGAAAATGGCAGAAACGATAGTGAGTGACAAAAAAAATCGGTCAGTATCAAAGAGAAATGAGACAGAGACAGAGAGAGAGAGAGAGAGAGAGAGAGAGAGAGAGAAAAAGAATCTACGTCCGATGCTGCTATTGCACCATTAATCGTTTATTTAATCGATCAATTGTCTTGTTTTTTATCTGCTCTTTTCTCAGTCAATCAGCTTGTTCGCATCTTTATCTTCTTGTATATGTATATATGCACATATATATATATATATACACACATATATATATATATATATCTAGAGAGAGAGATACGTAAATTTGCATGCATTTATGTGGTTAATATTCTGTACTTTCACCATTACTATCAACAGTAATCAAGTTTCGACAGCGGAGATAGGCATATAAGAAAGTAGAGATGTTATTAATAGAAGAGAGACAGAAAGAGTCGGTTTGTTATTAAAACAAACGACGAGGCCACATGCATTCATGCCGACCGTGACTTCTAATACCAATCATGAGCATTATCAATAGATAGATAGATAGATAGTTTGGGCTTATATATATATATATATGCATGTATGTGTATAGCATGTTTCTTTTAGATAAGATGATGATAATAATGATACACCAACAACGACTTCCACAATCACGCGACTAAGACGAACAATATTTTATGTTTAAATGACGACAACGAATGAATTCAGCTGTTGTCTCTCGTCTTGTCCATATGTTATCCGTCCACGATAAATACGAATTTTAACATTATTAGCAGCTGCATATAAACAAACGGAAAAGTCAAAGAAACCTTTTATTAATTATAAAAATAACAAACGCAGCAAGAATAGTGACAAAAGAAAAAAACCTTTTCAATGAGTTCAACAATGACAAAAGGCAAAACTAGCAAACAAATATCATGTAAAGTTCACATGTTAGACGATCAAGAATTACCATTTCATATCGACGTAAGTATAAGATCAATATCATCATATAAGCGACTGTTGTATTTTATTATTTGGCTTCATGTCAAATATTATTAATCATGATAAATGATTATATGATATATTTGTCAAAATAGAAAACAAAAAAGTCAATACAAAAGTCTTTTTGTCTCTATTTGAAGTGTTCATTTGTAAGATCGTCTATTTTAATAACTTTTGCATACACATACGTCTATCATCATCTATATTACGATGATGACATTCTGTCTATTAACATGAGAAATAAGTTGCATCTGTATTTATTATATCCATATGTTCGCTTCAATGACTGAGAAGTTTCATTATAAACATTACTGATCTTTTTTTTCTTCTTATAGCCGAAAGCAACTGGACAAGATTTATTTACTACAGTTTGTAACTATATTGATTTACTTGAAAATGATTATTTCGCACTTGAATATCTTGATAGTCGTCGAAATACTGTATGTATTAGATAAAAGAGAAAAATAAAATATATAATTTTTTATTATATTATTGTCTTTTTTTTCTAGTGTTGGCTTGAAATGGATAAACCTGTACTTAAACAAGTTACTGAAACTAAATTTTCATTTTGTGTTAAATTTTATACACCCGATCCTGGCCAATTAGAAGAAGAATTTACTAGGTAAAATTCTTTAAAAAAAATTCGTATCAATGTGCTTTTTTTTTTTGTTATTCTATCCACATCTAGCCTTAGGCTAGTATGCAATTTATTCACTTTATTTCCGAGCAAAAGCTTGAATTAGAATAATTAGAAATATGTCTTCGACATTGACAAATAAATAATTAGATATTCCGAAACAAAATTCAATATTGATGTTTCTTTTTTTATTGTGTTTTATTTAGGTATCTTTTTGCATTACAAATAAAACGTGATCTTAATATTGGTACACTACTATGTAGTGATAATACTGCTGCTTTACTCGCATCATATATTGTTCAAGGTAAATTAAAAAAAAAAACATGAAGATTTTTCTTTAATGATTTAACTTTCATTCTAGCGGAAATTGGTGACTATCTTGAATCATATAATAATAATCCAAATTATTTAGGTGGTAGAAAGTTTTTTCCACACCAAACAGCTGAACATGAAGTTCGTATAATGAATTTTCATAAAAATCATGTGTAAGTTTATATATAATCAATGTTATATATTTAGTCGAATTAAATATTTCGTTTTCTTTTTTTTTTTTTTGAAGTGGTCAACTTCCAGCTGATGCCGATCTTAATCTACTTGATATTGCTCGTAAAGTTGAATTATATGGTATAAAAATGCATCCGGCTAAAGATCATGAACAAGTCAATCTTAATTTGTCTGTTGCACATATGGGAATACTTGTCTTTCAAAATATAACGAAAATTAATACATTTTCATGGGCTAAAATTCGTAAATTAAGTTTTAAACGTAAAAAATTTTTGATTAAATTACAACCAGAAGGCTATGTAAGATTTATTTATTTGAATAATTTCATAAAAGCAAAAAAAAAGATGTTTTTTTTTTTTGTATATTTCAAGGGTTATTATAAAGATACAGTCGAATTTTATTTTGATACACGTGATGAATGTAAAAATTTTTGGAAAAAATGTATTGAATATCATGCTTTTTTTCGTTGTGTGACAATAAAACGAACACCACGTTCAAGAAGTAAATTATTAACACGTGGTTCATCATTTCGATATAATGGTCGAACACAAAAAGAAGTTGTAGAATATGCACGTGAACATTATATTAAAAATCGAGCATTTATTCGGTAAAAAAAACTAAATTTTTTTTTGTTATCGTTATTATTCTCAAATGTTTTCTATTTTATTTTTCTTAGATCCTATTCAAATACTCGAACAGTTGCGCCAACAACTAGTCGTGCACTTCGTTCACCTGGTACAGGACTTAAAACCTCAGATACAATGCGTAGTCAAGATACAAATCTCTCATCTATTGATTCAACTCGTCAACCTACACGTCAAACTGGAATTTCAACAACAACCAAAAATCAACCAACAACAGCTACAGGAACTACAGATCTAAATATTTCAACAACACCAAATGATATTTATCAACAAGTTTATCATGATGATTCATCAACACATGGTAGTCGAACATTAGATTCAAGATTTAGTCGTGATAAATATGATCTATCAGGTGGTGGTACTACAGATGAAGATGAAGATAATGAAGAAGAGCAAAAGATTCAAAATCAATCTAATGAACAAACACAAAAACCAATTAATGGTTCATCATCACCACCACTACTACCGCCACCGCCACCACCACCACCACCAACAACAACAGCGATTCCACATGATAAAGAAATAACTGAAATTGAACAAACAATAAATTCCAAGCATGAAATTGAACTTGATGAATTAGATAAAAGTAAGTCGCCGGGTATAGAAAATATTTTATATAAAGGCGTTCATGATAATAAAGAGGAAGAAGATGAAGAAGAAAAAGAAGAAGATTATAGTGAATCGAATCATAAAAAAGAAAATCGAGTAAGCTTAGAAATTTATCATAATGATAAGAATAAAAATAGTAAAAACGAAATAATTAAAAATACATCGAATGAATTTGAAAATGTAAAACGTTATTCATCATCATTAAAAATGTATTTAAATTCACGACATTCAACTGGTGGTTCACATTCAATATGTATAACAACAAATGTAAATAATTTACAAAATGATAATGAAGATGATGAACAACAAAAATTACTATTAAAACGTCAACAACAACAGCAGCGTTCACATTCATTACAAATAGAACGTACATTATCAATAGATTTAACACATTCACCATCAAGTTCATCATCATCATTATTAGAACCACCAAATATTGAACGTTTAATTGGTTCAAATATTAAGGATCATAATGAAATATTACCTATAGATAATGTTTCACCACCAATCGTTTTAGAAATACGTTCAAAACCACATTCATTACCACGTATGACAAATTATATTGAATATATTGATAGACGTATATTACCATCAATAAACAGTCTATCATGGCAAGATGATACAATCGCCAATGATCAAATTATTCCATTGTATGATAAAGAATCTTCCGAAGATTCAATAGAATTAGTTCGACAAGTAATCGAATCTATCCTTACACAAATTGTTGAAGAAGAAAGACAACTAATCGCTACTGTCGATCGTCTTGTCGAACAAGCATGTTCACGCGCATTGAGTTTATATATTATGGAATGTCGTGCACAAATATTTGCTGGATCTTCTAATATACCTCATCATAAATCGTGCATTTTAAGAACAGTAAAAACTGATAAAAATCATGATAATGATAATGATGCTAATAATCTAGCATCTCGTTTACGTACAAAATCAAGTCCAGTAATTGCAACGACAACTGATTGGACTGATGTAAGTCGTAAATTGGCTGCTCAAACATGTTTTGCTGCTTTTCCAAGTGGAAATAATTTACATGATTTAAATCGATCAGATTTTTCAACATTTTCAGAAGCTAAACTAAAATTTTTTAATATTCTTTCTAATGATGTAATTCCTTCGCAATCTTCTGTGTCACTTCCTCCACTTCTTCCTCTTTCTACATCTGTTCCTAATGTTATGTCATCATCATCATCAACACGTTCATCTCGTGCTTCATCTGTTTCATCCTATGCATCATCAATGCATGTACCATGTCCACCTGTACTTGACAGTCATTTAAAACGTTATCAACGTCCATTATCAGCACGTCTTCTTGATTTAAGTGATGATTCAGATTCGAATCCAACAACATCTATAAGTACTAGTTTAAAAACTTGTATTATACCGACAACAATATCTAATCCTAATCCTTCCTTGCCTCCACCAGTACGTGCTCAACGTCGTCTTCAACAACAACAAAAACGACGTTCAACTGAAGATCTTAATTCATCAAGTGATGATTCACTTTCAAATCATTTAAATAAAGCAGCCGGTTATCGTTCTGTTTTTGTTCAACGTAATCATCATAACAAGTGAATAGGATTTTTCGTTTTGTATATTTATTTCTGTTATAAGAATCTTTCTCGTATTATTTTTTTTTCTCTTTCTCCCTTCTATCTAGTCATTATATTGTTATACTTACATGTATATCTATCTAATTGAATTTGTACAGATCTTCGCTATTGCTTCTATTCTAATAGTGGATAAGAAAATGAATTATTTTTTCCTTCTTCTCTATATGTTGAGTAATTGAGAATGAGTGTTTTTTCTTCTTTTTTTTTTTCTTCTTGCTCATGGAATTCTATTTTTTATTTACACGATCAGGGATATATATATATATATCTATATATTTTTCCTTTATTTACTTGGGAAAAAAACAATTGGAAATTAAAGCATTAGATAGTAGAAATAGATTTCCTTATATTATGATTCGGTTCACTCTTTGTTTCTTTTTCTTTTGAAAAAAAAGACGCATAAACCCGGCGACTTATTATTATCTTTGTAGACAGTACGCGCTTTCTGTTTGTTTGTCCATAAACACACACACACACACACAAAATATATATATATATCCTTATGTGTAGCTGATGTCCCTTAAATTGTATTTGTACGCTAAATAATAATAAATTTTTAGTTTTTGTTTGTTGTTTCGCTTAAACTACCATTTGTATACGTTTGTGGAGAAGTTTTGTATCGTACTAAATCTCGTTCTTAATTAACATGACATGAAAAAAAAAAACATAACGAAATAAATGCGATTCAGAAAATAAATCTAGAAATTTTCATAGATAATTAATTAGATCAGAATTGATGAAACTCAAAAAAAAAGATCACAAAAGAAAAACACAATATCCATGTTAAAAACAAGAATACATTTTATTCTTAATTACAGGAGATTCAATATCACCAGTTCAACAACAGTATCGTCGTGAGATAAGTGGATTTGTTAATAATCATCGACCTGTGCCACCTATAACAAATAGTACACCACAAAGAAAATCTTCAACTACTGATCAACAATTAATTTCAGTAGCACAAAGATTAAGTCTTACTAAACAAACTTCAATCATAAATAATGATAATGCTGATATTAATAGTTCAAACAAAAGGTAATTAATAACGAAACTAAGATAATTAATAATTGATACATTTTCGAATTATATATATACATATGTGTCTACAAGCATACCGATTAACTTTTTTTAAGGTCTTCAATTGGTGAAAGTATGTTACCAGTTTCTTCTGTGTTAAAAACATTTATTAATCAGACTGATGAAACGAATATCGATGATAATAAGGTAAAGGCTTCATGAGTTTCAAGGACAAAAACAACTTCATAAGATTTCTTTTCATCTGCATTAGACTCGAGCAATTCCAATTATTCATGAATATCGTTCACCAATGACAACTTTGAGTAAGATTGAATCCAGAACCACAACTGTATATCAACAATCACGTATGTATTATGATTTAAAGATTACAAAAAAAAACAATAATTAAGATCCTATCCATTAAGTTTTATCGAGTCCGGACTTCAAATATTTTTATAATCAAGATTTAAATCTATAGCTTAAATTTTTATTCACTTATAGATACCAATAAAAGACTCTGTTTTCAGAATTTAAATTGTTCATTGTAAACTTACAAAGGAGCTGTAATCGATACGGCTAGTATACTCTTCGTCAAAATTCTGTAATTTACATTTCGATCACTGAAGCTATCGACAATATTCTGAGATGATATTTGTAGTATTATATATATGATAAATATTCAGAAAGAGTGAATATAAGGAGTAATTGTCGAAACGAAACTGACGAACATAAGTAAACGAAAGTAATTCGACGATTATCATTTCGATAATCTCTATTTTGATAGTGTTTGTTTCTATGATAAAATACACAATCTTAATGGATTAATAGACTTCTCGAGATTATAAATTTATAGATAATCTAATAAAATGTCCTTGATGTAAATTTAGCGTCCAGAATGAATCCCTCGACATCTTATCAAATGACTCAACCAATTACCGGCATACCAGTATGATAACTTTTCTCTTTTTTTTTTTTCTTTCTTAAAGTTTTTCTCTAATAAAAAATAAATCATTTAGCGATTAATTGGTACTGTACCATCATCATCAACACAAACTTATTTTCCAACATCGGTTTCATCAACAATGATAATATCATCTGCACACGATCGAGCTTTTTTTATCTGTAAAGAATTATTAATGACTGAACGAACATATAAAAAAGATATTGAAGTTATTGCTGATAATTTTCACCGTGAATTAATGCTAATTATTAATGAACAAAATGAAATATATATTTCAGAAGAAGAAGAACAACAACATCATTTAGAAAAAGATTCATTAATTAATTTAGCTGATTTATTATTTGCACATTTAATACCTATTTATAATTTTCATATTTATTTTCTTCGACAACTTGAACAAAGAATATCACTTTGGTAAAACAAAATAATTATTTTTTAATAATAAAAAAAATAATTTATCTTTTTTTCTTTTTTAAAAGGGAAAATCGTTCTATACCAGGTAATGAATGTTTATCGGGCGAAACAACAACTCAACGTATCGGTGATCTTATTGTGAATTTAGTAGAAATTTTACCAGTAAGTATTATTCTACATAGTAAAACATTTTTGTTTTTCCATTATCTATTGGAAATTTTTCAAATAGAAATATGAAAATTATGTTGAAAATTATGATAATTTATTAAGTGAACTTGAACATGTACTTAAACGTAATCGACGTTTTGATTTAATGTACAAAGAATTTGAATCACAAAAATTTTGTTACTTATCATTTATATCATTTTTACTTAAACCATTACAAAGACTTTTACATTATGAATATTTACTAGAAAGTATGTTTGATTGTTTTTTTTTTCTTTTATATTATTTCAGTATAATCTATTCTATGAAATACAATCCAAAAAAGAGTGTTGAAGTATAGAGGTGAAAATTTAGATTTCCCTACAGACACTAACTAGAGCTGTCAGATTGTTCTCATGTCTGGATCTGAAAATTTTGGTCAATCAAATCATGCTTGGAATCTGACCAGCGAGTTTGCCGGTTCAGTTCGGTTAAAAAAAAAACTTCAACCGATTCCAAGTATGAATCAGATTCTAAAACTTTGGATTTGATGGACTCTAAAGATGACAAATGTTAGTGAAAGATCCATTAGTAATACTAATATTCCTACGTCACAGGCATATATAAATAACGTCTCGCTATATTATATGAATTACTTACTGCATTTGTGAAGAATTGAGTAAAAGGATGGTGAAGAAATCTTTTTCAAAATGAATACAATAAAACGATTTCTCTGCGATTAGCAACAAGCAGCTACATCGTATTTCGCATTTTAATCCTGTAGGAATTACACTAACAGCTTTCTTTTGTTTAGAATTACTTATATATTATAAACAAAATAATCATGAAATTGATTATCAAGATTGTTATGGAATATATATTAAAATTCAAGATTATATTGAAAATTTTACAGAATCATTAACATTATTGGTATGATATTTTGAATTTATTTATTGAAATATTTTCAATGAATTTGTTTAGCAAAATCGACAAAAATTAATTGAACTTCAACGTGATTTAATTGGTGTAGATAATCTTTCAATTCAACATGATCGAGTAATTAATTATTGATATATAAATATTCGAATAAAAATTTGGTTTTGCTTCTTTTTTTTTTAAGCAATTTATACGTGAAGGTTGTTTACAAAAGTTATCACGAAAGGGCTATCAACAACGAATGTTTTTTCTAGTAAAACAAAAAAAGAAAACTTTATTTTTATTTAAATTTTTATACATGACTTTTTTTTCTAAATTTTTGTTTAGTTCTCTGATGTTTTACTTTATTGTGCTCGTAGTTCAAGTCCAATACTTCAATTTAAATTACACGGTGAACTTCCATTAAAATTAATGACAGTTAGTATTGGAATTTTTGTCTTTTCTTTGCATATATTCTACAATCATTTTAATTTTTGATTTTCTAGGTTGAAGATAGTGATGAACGTGTTAAAATTCCTAATTCTATTACAATACATACGGGTACTCGATCGTTACTTGTAGCAGCGAGGTATATATAATAAAATTTATTATTCTAGTTTGTTCTAAGAACATTTCATTCCCCGAGTATTTATAGAAAAATTGAGTAGGAATTATGCTAGACTTAAAAATTCTTGATTGATTTTCTGATTAAGATTATGAAATTATCATAGTTTGTTTCAATTTCATTAGTATTCTTGTTTTCAAACATTTTAGTCTACTTTCATTTTTCTATTAAAAGACAACAAGTTTGTAGAATGAGTTTTTGTTCATTAAATCTTTGCATAAGTTTTCGAGTATTTAACATTCGAGGATTTTATGCTTAAATGCAGACAAGAATTTTTATTTTATACTCATCTCTTCGATATAATCGTCAAGCACAAAAACAAAATATTGACTTTTTTGAAATAGAAATTTTAAAAAAACCAATTCTGTTTTCTTGATTGATAAGATACACTGTAAAAACATATATAGCAAAGAAAGAAACTTGAACAAATGTCTTTAAATTTATACGTTGCAGACTTTAATTTAAATATTTTTCTTTCTTACATTTTGAGCTCGAAAGCTTAAAATCGAAATTTTCGTATAAACTTCAACATAATAATCCTCAATATATACAACAAAAGTTGACAGCAATTTTCTAAAATGTTAATACGATTTGTATGCGTAGAGTAATCTTGCCATGGTTGATGCGGGAAATCCTCTAACTATTCAATTGCTTTTAAGTGATGACTATGTGCATTATATACATCCAAATGAGTTATGACTACTCTGAAAACATTTTCATACTCTTAGTTGATTGCTAGAATTACTACATTTTTATGGTATTTTTATTAAGATTTGTCTCTATGTAAAGTTTCAAGTTGAAAATCATTTTTTTTTTTGGTGCTTCGCAGAAGGATCACAACATTTATTTTGAAAAAATATTATAAAAGTGCAGCATCTTCGTAGCAATAAACTAATGACAGAAACTCTTCTCAGAGTATTCATAGTTACATAGTCTCAAGTCAAAACCGATGGAACAGTTGAAAAACTGCTATCGTCAATACTGCCAGGCATACAACGATCCTGGACAAGTCACTAACAACTATATGTATTGAATCACCCGTCTGATAGCATGCTGGTTAAGTGATGGCATATATACCTGCTCGTGTCGTTAATTAGTGTGTACCATGAGTTCAAGAACTCTGTGCTAGACTGATTTTTTGTCCATAGCTACAGTCAGTCATACTTGTACGGACAATATCGGGTTATTTTTCTCTACTTTCATACATATGGATAGTGCTGAGTAGCATAATTTGTACCGAAAAACTTCCGAGATGATGATACCCAATAGACGTTTATATTTCTAATCTAAGGAAAGTCATCGTCCTCTTTAGTACAACTAACGAAAAATTGGCTATTGTAGTGACTTACATAAATTGATTCTGTAATCATAATCTTTTTGATTTTGTCTTGAGAATATATAACTGATACAAAAAAATACTAAAATTATAAAATCCATATGAATCTTAGAAATTATTATTAGATTAAATTGTTGATTATTTATTCTAGTTCGGAAGCTGAAAAGAATAAATGGTTGAACGATTTCAAATCAGCTATTGAAAATATAAAAACCAGTAGTGATGAACATAAAACTCAATATACATCTACATTAAAATCGAATGGTATTTTGAATTATCATAAAAAGTTTTTCTTTAATTTAAATAAATTTATTTTCTTTGTTTTTCAGCATCATCGGAAAATCTTGATCATTCAGTTGTAGGAACAATTGAAGAAGAAAAATCACATCAAATAGAACGTTCATGTATTCAACATCGTGCTAATACAACAATGCATGTATGTTGGCATAGAAATTTATCTGTGTCAATGAATGATCATAGACAATCAATTAAAAATCAATTGAGTGGTTATTTATTACGTAAATTTAAAAATTCAAATGGTTGGCAAAAATTATGGGTTGTTTTTACAAATTTTTGTTTATTCTTTTATAAAACTTATCAAGTAAAAAAAAAAAAAACACAAGTTCATTAATTTTTATTTTCTATTTTATTTATTTTAAGGATGATTTTCCATTAGCATCTTTACCGTTGCTTGGTTATCGTAGTTCATTACCATCGGAAACAGATGGTGTTAATAAAGATTTTGTATTTAAACTTCAATTTAAAAATCATGTGTACTTTTTTCGTGCTGAAAGTCAATATGCTTTTGATCGGTAAATAAAATTCCTTTTTTCTTTATATGATAAACTTTTTCTAATTAGATGGATGGAAGTTGTTTCAAGTACAACAATATCATCGATAACTGTTACAAGCGACTAGTCATGATAAAAAGTTTTTTTTTGTTTGTTTTTTTCTTTCTAGTCGACTAAATTTTGTCTTTTTATATATGATCAAGAAATATGGGCAAAGATATATTCTTTGTATTCTGTAGAGAGACTCATAATTGTGGTGATTTATCGAATACTATTAACTTCTTTATTCTTCTCTCTGTCGTTTTTTTTTCTTTTCTTTTTTTTTGTGTAAATATTGTTGTTGTATTGTTTGAATGCTATTAGACGAATTTAACTCTTTCTGTTTTTTTTTTCTTGTGCAATTATGTTTGATAGAAAGAACATGATTCTTTTTAAAAAGATAAAATTAAATGAAATATTGAAATTGGATATATATATATTCATATATAGCAAATGTAATGATTGCAATAAAGAAGTTTTTTAACTTTCTGCTAACCTTAAAGAATTATAAAAATGTTATCTTTTCGTAGACGTTTTATCACTAACAATGGAATCTATCGGACACTATTTGACTTCACATTTTTGCTATGAGTAGGACTCCGTGAAAGTAAGAAAACCCAAAATGGATTCGAGTTCATGCATTACTCAGTCAAAGTTATGAACGTTTTTGGTGAAATCTTACAGCCACTAGAATATCTTAAAAATTTATGATAAACGATGTTAGATTTAAATAAATCTTTTGAAATTTCTATCTTCTTTTAACAGAAAGTATGACTTGTATTTCTTCGAGATTATATATATCCAATGATATTTATTTGTTCAATTTCATAAAAATGAAGAATTTCTTAGAAGACAAATTATAACATCTAAATTTTTAGGAATATATATAGTGATATAGGAAAACTCTAACAAAAACATTTCTCTTTCCAATTTGAAGTGCACTATTATTGATGATTATTTTGAAATAAAATTAATTATGTTAATACGCTCGGTTTCATCTAGCCTTGAAATGAGCTCATTTGTTATTCATCAACTATTTTCACTATATATAGAGTACATAACAATACTTTTCTATCGGGAGTAACCTTGTAAGTTCAGATAGTATAAACAATAAAGTTTCTAATAAATAAAAACTTGTTGAAAATAATATCGATAAATGAATAAGAGTTATAAATTTTTTTCTTTGTTGTCAAATTCTAAAAATTTACGGTTCATAAACATGAGAAAAAGATTACGCTAACTATAATACGATAATAATAATACATGTAGTAAATTTACGCTTATTTTTATGGTCTAATGAATAATAAAAAAATTAAATCTAATTTTTTTATATTTCATTCTATTCATATAGAGCAGTTACTTTGATCCCTCTATATCTATTCTAAATGAATATTTCTTTTCATGTCTATGATCTATAAATGTTTTTATAATTACTCAAAATTTGACATCATAATTAATACTCATTCATATGGAAAAATTCTATTATAAACGAACTTTATTCTGCTAGTAAATTACTTATTTACGCTATCTTAAATTACAACGATACGCCTCCCTGGAAAGAAATTTGATTAAATTACTGTAAACTGTTTATAATTGTAATTTCCTTTGTATCAAATCCCAATAGAAATATAGAACACAAAATTAAGATATAAAATAATGTCTCCATTTACTGATATTTTGCATGTCAAATCAATCAACAAATACAAAACGATAAAAATAAATGTATTGATTTATTGATGTTATGTCTAAACCCAACCAAGAGTAAGATAACTGTAAATTAAAATGTATTGCAATCAATTAAATACGTAATAAAACAGAACTAAATACATATATATTTTAGTTTTAAAAAGTAAACAGTGTTTCGTTTTTCTGTTCGTAATGACAAGAAGAGCAAACAAAGACGAGAAGAAATACCACCAACCAAAAAAAAAAAACAAAAAAAAAAAATTTGAGTTTAGCAATTTTCATTCGAGATTTCAAATAAATTTAATGCTTTCATAATTAATATTTTGATATTTTTTATAGCATCACCTGCATCAGGTATATAAACTTTATCACAATCAATTGGAATTTTTGTTTTATTATTTTTCATATTCGATTTAACAGCTTTTTCTTGTTCTTCTTCTTCAATTTGGTTTGCTGCATAACGAAATGTTATGATTTCAGGAAAATTTTTTTTACTTGTTATTTTTGATATTATATTCAATGGACGACGTGCAACAAGATTTGCCATTGTTTTATGTTCAAGTAATTTTCGTAATATATATAAATGTGTTGATGATACTAATAAAAGACTAAAACAACAACAACAAAAGAATGAAGGATTTCTTTTATTTCGTTCTTATTACCTTGGATGTGTTTTATCGTTTTCATCGAAATGTTCGCATTCATATTTATACAAGAGATCGCTACGTAGAAACCATGATTCAATATCAACAAGTTCAGATGTTCCATGTTGTCGAGAAGATGAAGTTGTTCCTAAATAATAGAAAATAAAGATTATTAAAAAACAAAAAATTTTCTTACCATCATCGTCTTCTTCTTCATCGAGTGAAAAAACTGATGGTTGATTTTGTCGGTAAAGTTTACTAACTTTATCTTGCTTACTTACATGTCTAATGAATAATAATAATAATAATAATAATCAAACATAATGAAAATAAAAAGATATTACTTAGGTATTGAATTAGATGAATCAGCTGATGATGTATGAGTTATATAATCTTTAACTTTATCTTTTACTTCAATAGATTTTGTTTTAACTGCACTGGATATCATATTGATTAATGAAGTTGTCTATATAAAAAAAAGAATGTTTTTCTTTTTCTTTATCGAAAGTTTATGTTGAATATTTTACTTGTGTATTAATTACAGGTAATTTTTCTACAATATTATGTTTAAGTGTTGATCCAAGAGATAGTGAGTCTTGTACTGCTGTTGAGATTTTACTTTGTTGGGGTTGAATTAACATTGATGGATCTTCGATAGCTTTAGCAAGAACTATTTTAATAATGATAAAATATTGAAAAACATGACAAGACATAAAAAAACTTACTTTCATAACCACCGGAAGCAATACTAACATATTTTGTATTTCGTCGTAAAAAGTAAGCCACAACCATACGTACATATTTATCTTCTTCTTCATGACCTGAACCTATAAAACATAGATGTTCACCAGCTGCTGCTGAACCTAAATAAAGAAAAAAGAAAAAAAAATTATTTAGATTTCCGACTACTGCCGAAAGTTGATAAAATATGAGCGATATAACACTAGTTAATGTTCACATGAAATTGAAATCTATTGTTCATTAAATTATTTCTACTGGATATAGCATTCATTATAAGTCTAGACTAGAGATATGTTGGATCAATTTGTTTTTGTCTCGGACACAGTCCGATTCTGGTTATGGCCTCGGTAAATCTACTCTGGTAACGATGATTTTAGTTTTTCGGGTCCTGGTCTAGAGAAAACTATTTCAGAATTTATTTGTATTACACCCAAAAAAGATTCTTCAATACCGTTTTTTTTAATCTATTTTCTCGACAACTAGCATTTTTTAGGACTATTTCTCTTGAATTATATTGTAACTGATTGGATTTATAAATTAATTCACTTTAAGTCATAGAAATTTGTAACTATTATTTTTAGTTCCAGTTGGAATAACTTTTCTCTCATAGTTTCGGTTGCCGTCTCAACAACTTTTCTTTACCTTGGCCCTGTTTCCAGTCCCACACATCTCTAGTCTCGACAAAACTAATCTACGATTTAAATTTATTTCAAAAGACCTTTGAATACATATTGTTGAAGAATATCATTGTCGAGGATAGGTCTTGCCTACGTATGTTATACTTTCATTGCTATAGTTAAATTAAGATGTTAACTGATACGACATACTTGACAATATCGAACTCTCTACTGAAAGTTCATATAGTTAGAAATTAGAATTGATACAAAGCTCTTTACCAGCATCAATTGCATGTCTTTGTGTAGCAAAAAGAGCATCTACAGTTCCAGCAAATTCTTTTGGATCTTCGAGTAACTATAAAAAGAAATCTTTTTAATAAAGAAAAAGAAAATCAAAACATTTTACAAGATTTGCATCAAGATGAAATGCTGTATAAAGATGTTTAGAATTATATTGTTCAGCTGGTCGACAATCAACAATAAAATATCTGACACCTGCCGTCTAATAAAAATCAATAGATATAGAAAAATAACTGAAAATATAAATATAATTCTATTTTATACTCCGCCTAATTGATTTGCTTGAAGTAATTCTTGAACGAAAACAGGTAAACATAATGCTTGATAAATGGAATAAGCTTTTTGAGAAAATGATCGATCTGTTTCGCTGAATAAGCATGAATAGAATTCCTTTTTAAAATAAAAAAATGCAAGAATTAAATGAATTCGAAATTAACTAATCTTTTTCTTTTTACTTTGCGAAATGATTGCGGTGTATTTGATGCATAATGATTAGCTAATGAACAAAAATCATCCAGATCATCAACAGTTAAATTTGATGGTGCTTTTGATAGAAAACCTAATTTAAAAAACAAAATAACTTGATTCAAAAAACTTGTTTTAATGATTTACTAATTATTTCATTTTTTTCTTTGTCAACCATTTCTAACAACTGTTCTCTAAGAATATTTAATCATAATACCAATTATTATTATTATTATCTCTAGTGTAATCTTACTTAGCAAACATAAGTAAAACAAGAGCAAGAAAAAAAGCAAAAAATTGATCAGCATGTTGAAAATATCCATCCCAGAGCGGTAGAGTAACATTTAATGAACATAATCCAGCATATAAACTTCGGATCTAAAATTAAATTAAACTGATAATAAATCTAAAAGTCTCTTGATTATACCCAAATATGTGCATATGAATCTGGTGTAATCTTTCTTGTATCAAAAAAACTACATAATTCCGGATCATGATAAAGTAATAATAATCGAAATAAATGATATGGCATTCCATCAGATTCACAATCACTTGAAAAGGTAATTATTTTTAGTTTTTTCGAAAATTATTTCGAAGAAATTCCTACCGAGGTATGTAACGATTACGAATACTAGCAAATAATGCGTAAAGTTCAGAACGATCTTTATATTCAAGAGTTATAAGTGGTTTAAATATTTCAATCCATCCATTTCCTTTTTCATATGTTTCATTACTTAAAATAAAAACAAACTGATTAATTTTAAATAAAATTTTCACATAATTACATACTTTTTTTTACAATAATACGAAATAACGGCTTCAATATCAGTCATTTTCGATGTTAACATATCTTGATTTATTTGTGATGCATCTATAAAATTACCTTAAAATTTATTATTTCGTTTAATAATTTGTTTTATTCATACTTACGCAGTAAACGTGATACATCATCACGTATTACATTTTGTTCAGGTAAATCAAAGACATCACTATCAGTATATTGATATTCCGCATTGGTTTCATTGATGTCGAGACATGTCTAGAAAAAAAAAAAATTTTAATAAAAGATTCAAACATTATATCAATATTGGAATAAGATAAATTCAATTGTTATTCTCAAAAAATATTTTATTTCTATCAAGGTACCTATTATCTTTCGATTGAAGTCATATTCATAATTCGAATACAAATGGAAGCATGAATTGTACTTTCGAAAATTTTCATCGATTAAAAAAAAGAAGTTATTATTTTATTCTTAAAAGAAAATATATTCCAAGATTATGTTGATCAAATTAATACACCCATCCATTTGATATATATGAATTATAGGGTAATTTTAAATAAACACGTAAATATAAGAACGATATCCTAAACAATATTTTACGAGCGACGGTCTCCAAATGATAAATCGCTTCGGATTCTATTCAATCGATAATTCATGTTTTTTTTAACAATAAATTTGATATCTCAGTAACAAGAGTTTCACAGCTCGAATTGCTCTTGAGTATTTACCTAGACGCTATGTTCTATGGATTAAATAATAGTCTCAATCTATTGATCACTAGAAGATCTTCTCATGTTAAATTATTTTTGAACTTCTACAGGTCATTATTAAAACTCGAATTGATTAATAGAGATTCAATGAATCCAAGTGAGATTCTCATCTGTCTGAAATTCGAATTTCATTCATAAAAATAAAAATAAAAATTTTTAAATAATTTTCTTACTTTCCAAACAGGTAATCTCAAATCATTGGTAAGTGAACGACATTTGCCAATACTACGAATTGATCCTAAATCACAGCCTTTTTCAAGTGCTAGACGTAACTCATTAATCCATTGATTATCTTGAGGTTTTATTGTATTATTATCATCATCCTCATCATTATTATTATTATTACTATTTAATTCATGATGATTTAAATCTAGATTTGAGTTATCTTGTTCAATATTTTCTTCCGACATCATCTGAAAAAAATAAATTCAATAAAAGCAATATTTCGACATCTATTATTGTACTGGTTTTTATTAATGTATAAGCTGCAAATAATAAATGAATACATGCGATTGAGAATAAATGTTGATTCTTCGATAATAATATTGTTCTAAGTAGACATATGAGCGAGACATTCTTACTCATATATAATATTAATACAATGTGAATATACAATATTTTATCAAAGATTAATTTATGATACTAATGAAATTTAAAAATAAGTTTCGATAAGATTTCATCTTTGCTCAGATTTTTATTAGGCTCTATAATTTGGAATCACTAAATATCATACCTATATATTAAATCATCATGGCAAAGATTTGCAATATTGTTCTTCAATTTAGATTCGAACTGGGTACCAAATAATTTCAATAACAAAAACCATTCTACTAATTTCAGATATGACTTACTTTTAATAGAAGATTTAACATATTTGCATTTAACAAATATTCGAACTATGAAATCCGAAACTTAAGATAAGAATTATTAAGTACGACATGTTTTAAATCTTGCAGTAATGAAACTAATTCGCAACGCTTTGAAGAATAAAAAAAAAATGCCTAGAATATTTACGACTGATTATATACTATGTACACAAATTTAATAAGATATCTTTTTCTAAGTCCTAAGAAAAGCTTTGACTTGTTGATCATTCTTTTCACATGTTTCAAACATTCATCTGACTTTGATGAGAAAGCGCAATAATCAGACATACCATATCTTTTGATTTTTTAGATTTTTAATTTAACTTTTAGAAACGTTATGAAAACAAAAGAGAGCTGATTTAATACAATATTTAAAAGATATAGTTTTCGGAAAGGTATTTTCAGTTCTATGGAATTTTTGTTAGATAACAATTGCAATAGAATGATATATGACTGACATTGACCACTAGTGTATACAAGCTTTTTAATTATCTCTTTACGAGAGAAGTCCTCCAATTGGTAAATCACTTTTAAATCGAGACTATCTGCGTTGTGTAGATTTAAATAAGTTATAAATACCCTGATGAGAGTTCGTGCGCTTAACTTTTTGTTGCACTTTTATGATAGCTTTTAAAATGGATGGAGTGATAACAGAAAAACTAATTTTTGAATTTCGACTAGAAATATTGCATAGAAACAGACTTTAACGAGAGTAGTTTTTTGTGAAAATTATAAGATTTTTCGAAGCTTCCTCGCCGCTCAAAAGCCGATTTCATGCCAAGTACATTCAAATCTTCTGAAATTTGAGAGAATATGTTGGAGCTGTAATGAAGAGGCTATGATAAAATTTTCAGCCCTATATCAAGACGTTTGACAGATATATTCACCAACTATGTATCAAAAATAATTCGTTTAGCAACCCAAATTTCTCTGTCCGGGGTCATTCTATATATTTAGTTTTTTTTTTTTGTCTTTGGAGAGTGTGACATCTGAACACAAAAT